TTAATTTTCTTCACTTCTTTGAGTTCTTCGGCTTCTTACTTTTTACCGTTCGTAACAAAACACAACAGTAATTCAGAAATAAATTCTGTATTTCAATAATATATTTTAGCAAGGCACTTCTACATTATTTAAGTAGGTACATAATTAAAGTTACAGTTATAAAAATAATGTATTAAGTTAGCATTTATCATGTATATGAATAACATTAATTTGTCAAATTTACATTTAATTTTTATCAGGTAATATGTCACAAAAGCTATTAAATAGTTTTAATATACTTGAAGAGTATGAAAATATTCACGCTAAATGGTGTGCTGATTTAATAGCAAATGGACGACAAACACTGCAATCACTATGTAATATTATTGATAATGATCTATTAGTAAATTTGATGGACAGTTTTATGAGATTTGTTTCATTACTTGCTCAATGTAATACTAATTCATTATCTAATGAAAAAATCACATGTAAACCTAAAGATGTATGTATAGAATTGATAAATTAATATTGGACTATGTTGTTTGACCTACCTATAATATACATTTTTCAGCTCAATTTAAAACAACAAAATGAAAGTCAAGATTTATTACTAAAAAATGATATTATTAAGGTGATGAATAGTGATCTCCAATGTCCAATTTGTAATGAATGGTTATTTAAAGTAATTATTTTAAAATTTTTTTTATTTAATATAGTTAAATTCTAAAATAAAAATGATATTTTAAGAACAGTGCCGTAAATAGGCATTGGCAAGGTGGGCAGTGGCAAAGGGCGCAGTTTAAWATGATCGCGCTAGGGGCACAATTTTTATTTTATATAAATACCTAAAATTCATTATTAATTTATGACATTGGTTGCCAAGGGCGCACATAAAGCTAGTTACGGCACTGTTTAAGAAGATTGTTAACACATTATTTGTTTTCTTTGTTTGACCCACACACAACATATTAAAATGTTGTTCACTATAGAACCAACCTTCAATTGTTGACTTTAATAAAAGCTAATCACCTATTATGCAATTTATAATTAAGGACAGAACCTGTGTTCTTAAGGTAGCTTTTTTTATTATATTTCAATTTGTTTATGAGTTTGTAAATGTTTACAATTTAAGAATGCTCATACCTCGTTTCAATATTAAAATAATGCCAATTTAAGACCATAGATTATGTTCTTGATTTAAGTTATAATAGATCAATTCACTTGAACACTAAAGCTAACGTTTCTTCTAACGTTGCTTCTGATGAACGTAAATGTACTATGTTGTGCGTGGATCAGACAAAAAAATAAAATAGTGTCCCCTTAACAATCAAAATATAAAATAAAATTTAAATTATTTTAAGGCAACTTCTGCGAATTGCAATCATACATTTTGTGAAACATGCATCAAAAAATGGTTAAAAATAAATAAAGCATGTCCAGTTTGCCGAACATCTATCCAATATACTTCTACTTCTCTAACAGTAGACAATTTTATCACAAATTTGTGTCACTTATTTGGTGGTTTAACCAAGGAACGACGAGAATCAATAATGAATGCTCATATAGGTATAAGACATTATATTATATTATATTTGTGTGTTTATTATATAAGTTTTTATTATAACTTTGTATTCAATTTCAGATGAAAAGAATAAAAAAACTGATGTTACAGTTGATGAATTGATTGTTGATTTAAATATTAATCAGTCAATTGAAGATGATACATTTATTAGCCAAGTCGATACAACAATGTTACATCACAATATGGTCCGTTTAATACCTTGTCCTCAAACACCTGTGTCTAGAGAAAATTCAAGGCAACCAACAGTTAGCCCAAATATACCTCATCCTAACACAGTTCAATTATTACCTTTTCCTCAATCATCTGTAGCATCTGTAGCTAGCCCACGTTCTAATCGCCTTCAACCAACATCTTCAACATATGTGATCAGCTCACGTCATGTTAATCGTTTTCAACCCACTACTTCGTCATCTGTATCAAGTCCACGTGTTAATCGTTTACAACCCACTTCTCCGTTATCTGTGATCAGCTCGGGTATTTATCGT